TCCATCCGTCCATCCATCCATCCATCCATCCATATCCATCCATCCATCCATCCATCATCCATCCATCCATCCATCCATATTCATCCATCCATCCATCCATCCATCCATATTCATCCATCCATCCATCCATCCATATTCATCCATCTATCCATCCGTCCATCCATCCATCCATCCATCCATCCATCCATCCATATCCATCCATCTATCCATCCATCATCCATCCATCCATCCATCCGTCCGTCCATCCATCCATATCCATCCATCTATCCATCCATCATCCATCCATCCACCCATCCATCCATCCATCCATCCATATTCATCCATCTATCCATCCATCCATCCATATTCATCCATCTATCCATCCATCATCAATCCATCCATCCATCCATCCATCCATCCATCCATCCATCCATCCACTCAGTGTTTGTACACGGCCTACTCCAAGCAAGAGCTAGGAGGCTGTTGGCAAATGAGCCTCTAGTTGCATGATCATGCCTATATTTTCCTTGTCTATCTCAAGGCACGGAAGCATTCATCTGTGAAGGTGGGTGGGAACAGGGAGGCAGGACGAACAAATGCTGCTGCCTCTGATTTGCAGTCCCTTTCCAACACAACCCTTATTTACGGTGAAGGCACCTTACTGGGGGGGTGGGGTGCATGGTTTCTGCATCTAAGGAGACTTCATTATGTGCAGGGCATCTGGCATGGCCAGAATGAAACCTGATAGGCGGCCGAACCTGAGATGGGCTCTGGATCAGTGGAATTTCTTCAGAGGGGACCCATCCCAGAGCGACTGAAGCAGAATTTTCACAAGATGTGCGGATTCATTGTACAGACTGAACATTTGAGAAACACCACTCCAGGGAACCTCTGTCACGGGGTGATCCAAACAGATGAAAAGAAAGACGAAGTCATCTTGGGAGAAAGGAGACCAAGCTTCCAGGAGGCCTGGGTGGCATGTCAGCTGGGCATAGTTTACACCGCGAGAGGCAGAAGGACAACCAAAATCTGTGAGCTGTCGACAGACAGCGTCTACCGACAGTGTTGGATGACCCAATGGGCAAGGTTAAGCACAGGCTTACTTGTGCTGGCTTCCTAATCTTAAACGATTTCCCTTTTCCCATTTTTTCTATAACAGCCAACATTCTGCTTCTGGGTATGGCTGCTTCTCTCTTTCTCTCTCCACACCACCATGCCTGCCTACAGCGTCACAGCCCCTTTGCACATTGGCAGGCTCGGGCAGGGACCAAGGACCCAGTAAGCAAGGTAAGCATGGGCTTTCCTTGGACTTACTGACAAGCCTGTGGTGAGCAGTCGCACGTTTTTCATCAAAAGGTGTGGTCAGACTTATGTGCTGTTGCTCAGCACAGAGTACTAAGTAAATCAGTGCTTTCTTTGCAGGTAGGGACTCCACGCCCATCTGCATAGCTAATCATCTGTAGGATGCGCAGCCGCCTCGTCCTGAGGCAAAAGGAAGTCCACCATCAGGGCCACAAAGACAGACCCTCTTAGAAGGGGAGGAAAACCCAGACCAGAATTCCAATTCTTAAAGTCCAGATTTCCTGGATCCATTGAGGAGAGTGGACTCCCTGAGACGACTGCCCAGAGATACTCTTGAAATCCCCCCGAGGTCACCTTTTAGTGACATAAACAGATGGACACATCACATAAAAGGTATTACCCATGAGTACGATGATCCATTCAAAACAAAAACAATCAAAACATTCGATGGGACAAAAGACCAGCAATCACAGCCGAGGTGAGAAGACAAAGCAGAGAAGCTAGAGTCCTGGGAGCAAAACAACCAGATGTAACGATTAACTATTAATGGGAATGTGGACACGTTGTGGGAAATGTAACTAATGTCACTGAACAATTTGAGTAGTACATAGTCAAATGTGGCGTAAACTTTAACAATAAAACCTGACTTTCCAACAGACAAAGAAAACTAGAGGCAGCGAAGAATGGTCTTTTAACATTCTAGAGACAGCGAGTCGTCCGCCGGGGCAGAAGGAAGTGTGTGTGTGTGTGTGTGTGTGTGCCACGGCTGTAGATGCAGAACTGGCAGAATTTTAGTTAAGACCAGTTGATAGGCAACCTTGAAGACCATGCAAATAGATTTAGCCTTTGACCCGTTGCATGCTGTGAAGGCAGGGAAGGAGCAGGGGCTGTGCTTTATGATGACAACTATGGCAGAGGTCAATAGAGGTCATGCAAAGCTGACCCTGAGCCCATGACCCCTGGGCAGATAACTTGTCATTTGGGTCTCATTATTAGTTATTATTCAAGAAGTTGAAACCTTAAGCCAGAGTGAACTAGTGTATGTGTGTGTGTGTGTATGTGTGTGTGGGTGTGATCTCGCAGGAAATATCCCTGAGGCCTCTAGTTCTCTCTTGGCTAGGT